ATGGTAATTTGTGCCTGTAATCCCAGCCCTGAGACAGGGCAGGAAGACTGCGCATCAGAAAACAGCCTGGGCTGCATACTGAATTCAAAGTCAGCTTAGGCTACATAGCAAGAACCTGTCACAAACAAAACAAAACAAAACAAAACAAAGATGGGATTCCTGCAGGAAAACTCAAAAAGAGCAATCCAGCTCCTTAGGTCTCTGGACTGCAGCTCCTTGTTGGTTCCCAGGCATGTCTATCCTCTCATCTGACCTAGTTAACTGCTTTTGCAATGAGGTTTCCTTCCAAAATGTTGCTGCTTGAGCAGAAGTACTTAGCCCTTCTTACCACACCATACCTAGTGTTTCTCATTTTCTCCTGCCATGCTTAGAGTAAGTCTCTCTCATGAGTATGTGGAAGAGGAATAAATGAGTAAGGGAACAGTCAGGTGAATGGACTATTTAAATTGTACTAAATTGTACCCAGTTGGAAGAATAGTAACCTCTGTGGCTTCCCAAGCATGGCTGCTAGAATTGTAAACAAAACCTGCATCATCTTATAACTTCATCTCCTATGCAGGCATTTAACAAGCTTCTAAATGAAGCTAGTTCTCAGGCTCGTCTTGGAATTTTTCTTGCCGTTACTGCTTTATGAAAGACCCATCACCCCACTTCAGTTCACACTGGATTCTGTACTCCACTACTACCAACTTAATAACTTACACATTCTTATGTCCGATTCTTTCAGAATTAGTGAGGAAATAGATCGGGCACTACCCACTGCCCCTCTTGCCCCATGAACAACTTCATGTTGTATTTGGCATAAAATAATAGATTTTCTAAATCATTAAAAATTTGCATGACTATCAACATCAATGGCTGTATAAACCATCTTGTGGGTATATCTTAGGCTTCATGCCTTTGTGTCCTGGTTAAATATATTTTTTATTCTTTTTGTTCTAATAACAAAAGATAGCTTTCTATATATATAAAAACCATTTTTGCACATTTTTAATTTTTTTTTAAGAAAGCCGCCTATAGGTAGAATGTCTAAGACAAAAGAAAGGATCCCAGCTAAAGCTTCTGAAATGTACTGCCACATTGCTTTCTTGGGAAGTTATAAGCAGTTTCACACCCCCATAGCACCAGAAATATGAGCATCTGCCTTGCCGTACCACAACTCAATGATGATCTGTTAGCTCAGAGATACTCTTTCTATAGGACACAGAGAGGGGCACTTGATTTAACTTACATTAGCTTTGTGCCCACTGAGGTCAAACATTTATATGTGTGTGCCTATTTGCCAGTTCTGTCTTTTCTTTTGTGATTAGATGCTAGTGACCTTTGTGCTGTTTTTCTCGTTATTTATAAGAACATCTTTAAAAGACTGATGGTTTTATATGAACAGATGTCTTCTCCAGCTTAGTGTTTAATTACATAAGGTTTTTTTTTAATCTTAACTCTGTGGCTCTAAGTTTCTATGTAGTTAATTATCTCATATTTTATTGGACTTATTGGATGCTAGGTAATTACTAAATTACTACCTGCAGATTTATGTCTTACCTTTAAAATTCGATTAAAAAGAAAAAAGTAGAGAAAAGTCTTCAAGAATGTTTTTTATAAAAGGCAGGCAGATCTCTGTGAGTTTGAGGCCAGCTAGTTCCAGGACAGCTAGGGACTGTTACATAGAGAAACCCTGTCTCAAGGGGTGGGGAAAAAAAAGAAAACTACTATAGGACATTGACCTTTCTTCCACTAACCCAAATCCGGGTCTCAGGGTCCCTGGTCTGGCCATAGTTCTGCTACTGTGTGTTTCAGATAATATTTACTTGAATGTATTATAGAATGCCCAGACTGCGAACCCATAGACAATTGGACATGTGAGGCAGAGGTCCACTCTGCTTCTCTATCGTTAGAAGATGCCTAACAGTGACTCTGTGTGTCTACACTTCCTTACGCTGCCAGCTGATTTCTTTTTCTTTACCTTAATTAACAACTTTCCAATTCTCATAGAAGAATCCAATTAAGTAGTCCTGGGTTTTGTTTCTCTTTTTCTTTTGATCGTTACCACACATATCATGAACTACAGAAGGGGCCCGGTTCTGGTCAAATAGTCTATGTCACACTGGCTATGCAGGGGTTGAGTTGAGTTGGAGTCAAGTGGGGGAAGGGTGGGGCCATGATAGACAGGGTAGGTTTTCTAAATAGGATATGGATGCAGCATCCCTCTCCAGTGTACCATAATTGTGCGTGTGTTTGTGATTAAAAATGCAAAAGAAGCAGGGTTCATAGCCAGTGCTAATGGAGCTCAGAGGTCACCAAGGGCCAGGACTGTGTTAATTACATGCTACAAGACCCTGCAATTAGAAACCCAGAGATGAGCTAATAAATGCTGATGGCTCAGTGGATGAGACCAAGAAGTCATTTTCCTGTGGCCTTTGGTAAGTGCAGAGCAGGAGAAATGATTTGTGTATTAATTCACTAATATCGTCTGCTATCCCTTCCACGAGTGCCGGAGGTAACCACAGAATAAAGAGAGGAAGTGAATGCCTTCGGCGGATTTCCATATTCATTACTTTCCGACCCTGGGTGCTTGTAACAAGATAAACAGGTTGGTCCTTTGTGACGAGCTGACTCACATCACAGAAAATTATATCCTCTCTGCATTGCTTTACTAGAGTGATGGTGACATCTCTTCCAGCCACTCAGATGCCAGTGACAGTGATTGGCAGTTCTTGTCTGTCTGAAGAGATGTCACAGGGAACATAACTACAAAGAATGACTAACAGGCTGGCTGTAGGTATTGGACCTTCTGGGGCTTAGGGCTAAGATGTCTTCCTCCAAGAGACTGATGTACTTGGGGATTAACCCTCTCAAGGACTACAGGCAGACATGGTGGCCAGGACTAACACAAGGGGCTCAATCTTCAGAGGGTTCACAAACCCTGCATGCCACATACTTAAAGCTTCTCTTTCATTTCTTCAACAGCAACATTGAGATTCCATCCTGCTTTATAACCTAAAAATTAATAATTATATGAAAATTTTTAGACCTAGAAACAATCTAGAATACTTAAAATAGGTTAGGGCTTTCTTGAAAGAGCCAGAAAAATGTGTTTTTCTTAGTAAAGAACAGCAAATGCTGTCTGTTCATTCAGTGAACATTTATACAGTTCCTAGCATGAGCATTCTGAACATGGCTGTGTAGCACTTGTTATGAATTGTACTGAGACCTACATTTTACACGCTACATGGCAGAATCTAGGACTTTAATGAAGCTATTGTTTGAAAAGACAACCTCGTCTTTGATGCAGCATCCCTCTCCAGTGTACCATAATTGTGCGTGTGTTTGTGATTAAAAATGCAAAAGAAGCAGGGTTCATAGCCAGTGCTAATGGAGCTCAGAGTCTCACCATCGTTTTGATTTTGCTGTTAGCTTGCAAGAGAACTTAGTCAAGGGTGCTATGTCTTAGTGTTTGTTTCTTCTCATTGATTCACGTCCACAGGCACCAAGTGTTTTTACAACCAAGAAAAGAATCTGAGTCACAGAGACCTAATCTTCAGCATGTGACCATATAAAAGTAACACACAAACAAGGAAGAAAGGGATGGCAGAGCTGCATGAATCTGTGACACCAGTAATTTATCTCTGCTTTTCCACGGCTTTGGGTGATACATGACTAAGCTTAGACAAGTAATTAATTCATGACGAAGGAACACTGCGGGTGACTCTAAGCAAGAAAAAAGGGTACCTCCTTCTAAAGCCCAATGTATTTGAGCTTTCTCCAAACACTGAATGATTTAATTCTTAAATAATGTAATAATGTTATGCAGACATTAAAATTATTACAAAAACACAACTGAAAGTTTAAAGAGTCCAACTTATGGCAAAGCACAAGGTCTATTTTCGTAGACTTGAATGTAATATGGTACTCAGAAAATGTAGCATTTATCTTTAGCTGGATACAATATAGCTATAATGTTTTTGAGGACATATATTAGTCAGTTTGAGTTTATTTTTTTTTCTCTAAATATGGTACAATTTAACTAGAAAAATATGGTAACATGATCTTCTTGGTCTGTAGAGTCAACATCAGACTGAAAATTGAGTCAGCTCTCCTGGTCAAATGGGATCCAAGAATTACATCACCATGGGAATATTTTATATTCATTAACTTCTTTTTTCTGAGGTCCTGTCCTGGCAGTTTAGAACAGATTCCAGCAATGTTAACATAGAGATTCAATGAGTTCTCCAAACAGTTACAAACACCAAACTATGTAGTAAGAAAATAGTGTTCCTTATATTTCCCTATGTAAAAAGAGCGTTTAATGGGTGCAATGAAACTGAGTGTGTCTGCCCTTATGGTGAACTAAGATAGCAATTTATTTGTATTAAAGCTACAGCCTTAAGTTTTATAAAAGTACATCTGAATTTTAGCTCCTGTTTATATAACAAAAGGTGACAGTACCTTAAACTAGATAATGTGTTTTTATCCCACATGGAAGGAACCCAGAGGCACTGTAATATCCCACATGTCATCCGTGACAACGGCTCTACACGCTGATCCTTTATGCTCAGCGGCCTGTATAATTTACCTTTATCCTCTAGGTTGCTTCATGGTCCAGGATAGTTTTTGAAGTACCAGTCATCATATTGCTTAGAGTCTCAAGTTAACAGAGGGAGGAATTCGGTAGGAAAAGATTACAAAGATCCTAGCAAAATCATCTTCCCTGCCCGGTTCACAAAACACCCTGCCCGGGTCATACTGAACTAAACAGATTTATAGAGCCAGATCTACTCACAGCTGAGGCTAAGGAATAAAGTCAATATATGTCTAAATAAATCTATAAATAATGTATGATGTATTAAGTATAAGCAGAGAGATTGATTTGTACTAGGACCTAATGATAAAATGTCTTGAAGTTGGATATTTCCTTTAAAATACGGTGAACTGCTACTGGCCCTAGGATTGGTGCTCCTGTGTGCTAACTCTGCATCTTTCTCTTGCTCTTGTGTTACCAGGCCTCCGGAACCCGTTTACAGCACTGTGAACAAACTGTGTGATAAGCCTGCTTCTCCCAGGCACTATTCCCCTGTTGAGTGTGACAAAAGCTTCCTTCTCTCAGCTCCCTACCCCCACTACCATCTAGGCCTGCTCCCTGACTCTGACATGACCAGGTACTGCATGCGCTTCCTCGCTTCGCCTCCAGTTGCATGTGCTTCCACAAGGCTTGGTGGGTGGAATTCGCCTCCACTCACCCGTTTTTTTGTGCTCAGCACCTTCCTTGTGGAGCGATGTTCGGCTTCCATGGTACGATGGGAGAAATTGAGAACATGGCTTTTATTATTTTTCTTGCTGCTGTGCTCACAAAGCACTTCCAGACATGATCATGTAGAGCTCCATGTGTTCAATAAGGAAATAATTACCTTGTGCCAGCACTATTTCCTTCATGAGAGGGATAAAAGAGAACATTTAATGAGTATTTTAAATAATACTTAATAAATGTTCATTATGCCTCAGACACAATGACGGAAATATGTACATATTATTATTGTCATTTAATGTCAATTAGAATATTAAACGAAAGTCAGCATATAATTGGCTTCCAGAGGAATTAACCAGTTCTCTAGAGCTATAGAATTAATTGGTTTTCTATCTAACCACAGTAACCATAAACAGTATTTGCACTTTGCTACTGCTAGGTTTTTATATATGTTGTCTTATTTCATTCATCCCTGCATAAAGATACAAAAGTCAAGAAAAATTATGGGATGTCTCGCAGCACGATTTTGGCCAGTAAATATACCATTCGAATTTGATCTTAGAATATTCTTAGGTTTTCCATAACAACTTTGCAGGCAAATTCTTCTATGTCTAAAGACTGCACACAATTCTGCCTTAATCTCCTGAAGCATGTGTGTGAGCATGAAAAAACTGTTATCAAATAGTAGCCAGTCACAGGCAACTCAGGGTAGGAAAAATAAAATCTAGTGTTCCATGAGACGCTTGCAAAATCAGTCTAGATGAAGAGCCCAGGTGGAAGATTCCTATGCAGTATAGGTGCCTATTTAATTATGTTTTCAGACTCAGTGTCCTCATTTTGGTGTTAGGGCTGAGAAAAATACATACAGATTTTAGAATGATTCAAAGTGAAAATAAATATATTGAAAGGACCTTCATTTAAAACACATTTTTTTATGTTTTAAGGTAATTCAGTTAAAATTCATTTACTGATCTCCCAGAAAACTAAACAGCAAACTTTAAATTCTAGCTAGCATTTCTAGAAATAAATGAGAAAATTTTGACTATCCCATCAGCTCAAAAATTTCACTGATTGGGGCTGGAGAGATGGCTCAGAGGTTAAGAGCATTGCCTGCTCTACCAAAGGTCCTGAGTTCAATTCCCAGCAACCACATGGTGGCTCACAACCATCTGTAATGGGGTCTGGTGCCCTCTTCTGGCCAGCAGGCATACAGAATATTGTATAAGTAATAAATAAATAAATAAATAAATAAATATTAAAAAAATTTCACTGATTGCAATAATTTAAGCTTAACAACATTGCATAGTGATTTATAAATATTAATTAAATCCTACCATTTTACTGATTCCTAAGAAGCTATTCATTGGTGTGATGACCTATACAAGTTAGAAACTCAAGGACTGAGGTTTCATAGCCATGGAAGAAAGGAAGATATTTACACACTGCCGTAATGACTTCTCTGTGGTCAGCTCTGTACAATCAGTGAACTCTTCTTTAGCCAGGCATTTGGCTAAAGTAGTTCTTATGAATTATTTCCTTCAATCCTCAGAATCAGATTATGAGACAGATGCGATCATCATTTTGCTTTTCTAAATAAAGGCATTTCTTCACTTTGCAGATCAAGGCATTGTGGTTTGTTAGGCATATCCTTCTCAAATCACATGCCCTAAGTGATGTCGATATGCACCAAACCACACCTACCTTTCCCATGACTTTGGGGATTTTACTTCCCATTCATTCTAATTCTGTCTTGTTTGCCCCTTCCTTCAATTTAGCACCATCTTCTCTTTTATCTGTCTAGAAAAAAAGATTATTCTCAGACGTGTATGTGCACCCATTCTGGGGGCATTTTTCAGCAGCACACTGATGCCAAAAGTATTCAAACCCATTTAGCAACTCCTTCCCAATCACCCACTCAATGAGTGACATCAACATTGGTACAATGACTGAAAATCAAATACTTGAGCGTGATACTTAGCAGTATTAGTCTTCCCACCTCCATCAGTGAGTCCATCTTCAGGTCCGATTGACTCTTCCCTCAAAATACCCCCTCAGGTCTATTCACTTCCCTTTCCTTCTATTGCTACCACTTTCATCAATGCCCATCATCACCTCCCTATAATAGCTTCCTAACTCTTCTCACAACATCCACTGTCAGCCTCACACCTACTGTGAATGCAGCTAATGTGATCTGTCAAAATAAAACAGATCAAATCTCTCTCTCCTTTTGCATTACAGTGAAATGCAAAGCCAGGCTCTGCATGATCTAGCATCTGCCTGCCTTCTGAGCACCTCATATTCTGCTGACCATGGTACCCACACCGGCATACATTCTATGCACCAACGGTGTTACATCTCCACCTGTCTCGAGTGTTTCCCATGTGCTTTTCTACACTTTACCTAATAACTTCTGGTCATTTTAGATCCAAGCTTAAATTGCATTTGGTTAGAGAAACTCTCTGAAAGAAAAATCAGGTCCCTATTATCTATTATACCCACGCTTCTCTCTCTCTCTCTCTCTCTCTCTCTCTCTCTCTCTCTCTCTCTCTCTCTCTCTNTCTCTTTCTCTCTCCCTCTCTCTCTTTCTTTCTCTCTCTTTCTCTCTCTCTCCCTCTCTCTCTCACACACACCTTTATATCTCTCTCTGAAATTTTAATTGCACACTTTTATTTCATTTTAGTAAATAAAAAATAAGTAAACAAGGAAAATATGATCTTCAGACAAGCAAACTGATACTTTCCCGACCAAGTTCCATTCATACTTCCTTTATTCAGTTCATAGCAAATGCATGACACTAGCCCTTGACAATCAAATTTACAGATGGAGCAAACCACAGTGATGGGATCTCACTGTACATTACACTCCTACCTAAGTTACTTTAGTGCTCAGCATCCACGTCGCAGATCCATTAGACAACTGTGAACTCTTCAGGAAGACAGAGTCTGTTTGGGAACTCCATCAGTACTGGTACAGCAGTCACTACCTCAAACCGCAGACTCATAATTGAGGCAGCTCAGGAAAATTTAACCTGTGGAACTCTCCTTGTATGTATCGATCCTAGATTGACATCTAGAAAGACAGCCGTAAATTGACAAAATTAAGGAGAACTCCTTTTTCTATGTTGTCTGAGTTTCAATGGGAAATTCAAGTTCTCAGTTCTATTGAACTTCTAGCAAAGGCTCAGAGATAAACTGAGTACATATCTCACTAGTAAATGATTATAAAAAAAAAAGAGGTGTTATGTTTTCCTTAGGAAAGCCTTTTAAATTGCTTGGCATATTAGCTAAAGACACCGATATTTTTAGAGTGACTTTTCAGGTGATGCATGAAAAAGACATGAGAAGAGCCTGGAGTTAGACTAAAATTTGAAGTTCTATTGAAAATGGCATTGCTACGAGACTTCTACTTATCTAGCACATCACTTTTTCCTTAAAGAGAAAATAGTTTTTGATGTCATAATTGGTTTTTCTACTTTGAAAGAACCAGATATTTCTTTTGATGTTCCTGAGGCAATGTGAATAGTATTCTTGGCTGTCTTTTCAACATCTATGTTGTGTTTTCATGTGTTCTTTTATAAAAAAAAATGGTCTTGGTTATTATATTTTACAGATTAAAGGAGAGACTGAGGCAAAACAGTTGATAGTCAATTAAAATGTGCTGGTAGATTTTGGATAAGAAATGGACTCAAAATATGATAAAATGGATTCAAAGTATTATGTAAAGTACCTTCAGTTATTGCAGCGTGTCGGTTAGATGCTACATGTTGTGTTCAAAAGCAGATGAGATGTATTCTCCTCCCGTAAACTCAATGGCATGCAAGTGATGACTTAGTCACTGTGTAATATATATCTTCTCTGAGTCCTGGTCCTCTAATGGACCTAATCTCTGTAGCTAGTTGCTTTGTTTTGTTTTGTGTTTGGAATCAATTAAATTTAAAAGTTTATTTGTACAAAGGACAACTGAGGAATCAGGTCACACTCAAGCCTTGAATAAGTTTAGCACTGTGCCTAGCAGGGCAAACTTTAGAAACCTCAGCTACTAAAGACAATTAAAGGCAAACAGATTGTGTTTCTGGTCTTCCTGAAATTATCAAGAAGACACTGAGACTGTCATTCATATTAGAGAAAAATGTATTGGGAATAAAATTGGTGTAGAAAAGCAAAGTGACTTATGGGAATATCAGGAGGCCTGTGCAGCTTCAGGTGAGGGGTCAAGTTGGAGTTACGGGTACCTACAGAGCATAGGGGGACTTTTGCTATAAACAGTGGTGGGGCTTGGTCAATGTTAAAACTGCTATATGAACTGTGATTTTAAAGAGATTCTTATCCTACAGTGTTAGAAGCGTTTGAAGACAGGGAGATGAGTATGTGTCGTCCATACCATTGAGTACACTTGACATCCTGATAACCAGGGTCGCTCTGCAGAGATAGATACAAATAGATTCAGACTCTTGTGTGTTCAATGCTGCATAATAGTTGATACATGAGGAGAAATATCTGGCTCGGCATATTTACTACATTGCTTTTTATAGAGAATGGGTATTCTTCTTCATAATAAACACACTTAAAATTTCCCCAAGAACAATGAAATGTTATGTTTATACATGAAAATATCTTAATGAAACCTAGTATATTCTACAATTAATTACAATATTTAAAAGGAGATTTGGGGTTCTTTAAAGTAATGAAAGAAGAGAGAAACAAAGAACATTTAGGACCATCATTTAGAGGGGGCCGTGTGATGTCATAGAGAGGTCAACAAGTTACCTATACCATTTGAGTTCAAGTCCTTTCTTTGGCCATACTAATCACATACATTTTAGCTATTTCTCTCTCTCTCTCTCTCTCTCTCTCTCTCTCTCTCTCTCTCTCTCTCTTTCTCTCTCTCTCCNGTGTCTACATGATTACTGTCTTT